CCGCGACGCCATGGCCGCCGAGTCGGCCCGCCTGCGCCGCGCCGGCTTCCTCGACTCGTCGTGCGACCTGGTCGCCGACGCCGCCCGCGAGCGCTGGCGGTCCGCCGCCGCAGCAGCCGCCGGATACCCCGAGGCTGCTGTCATGGCCATGTCGGGCGCCATCCCGCTCATCCCGGGGCTGCTGGGCCGGGGGGACGACGGCGGCGGCGGCGGCGGCGGCGGCAGCAGGGGCGTGGAGGATGACGACGACGACGACGACGACGACGAAGACGACGAATATTACCAAGATGAAGACGGCGAGCATGACCCCGCGGCCCGGCCGGGTGGGGGCCGCCGCGCGACGCGCAGAGCGTGCGGTTGGGTCCGCAACCGGCTGCTGCGGCACGAGAGCCGCGTTGTGGGCTACCTAGGGCGGTTCAGTGGCGCCCGCGCGTGGGCTGAGGGGTGGCTCACGGCCCTAGAGGCGCGGCTGGACAGGCACTTGAGGGATATCGTGCCGGCGGCGGCGGACGGCCGGCGCGGGGAGGAGCCCCTCGGCGACCCCGAGGCCGTGGTGCAGCTGCTGGGCAAGGTGCAGATGCGGGCGCGGAGGCTGCGGAGGCGGGAGAATAAGAAATCCGCCCCGAGGGTGCGCTTCAACGTTTTGGGGCGGCTTTAGGAGTATGCATAACGGACATTGTTGCTTTGCTTTGCTCCCTTTCCTTTCTCGGAGCCCTCTGCGAAGTCGGCCACCCCGTTCCAGCCATGTTCGCTCCTCGCACTGTCATCACATTACCGCACGCTCGCGCCTCTAATTACCCAGAACTGCTTAGCCTGGAGTTTAGAGTATTTTTTTCCGCCATGACTTATAATAGGTATTGAATGGAATAAGTATTTGGATTACGCCAAGCCCTTCTCCAACCAGACCTAGATTCCATCCATAGACCGCCTCTCAGAACAAGTCATGACATCGTGATGGTTGAGAGTTGAGGGTAAAAAAAGAAAGAAAAAAAGCATAGCGCCCCGCGGGATCCCTTCGAGGTATAAAACCAAGCCAACTCAAATGCTATGCGCGAACTCGGGTGACCTTGAAAAAACTCGGGGTGCAGAGACGCCTTGTCCCAACGACTGGTTTGGGAGGACAAAGAGGGTAAGACCGCAAAATCCAGGCCGCTGGGTGACCTCGTGGATACAAGACAGAAAATGATAAGAATATTTCGACCCTTTATCGACCCTAGACGAAGCAGAAAACCCGGCGCAAATGGGCGGAAAAAAGAAAAATCAGTAAGCCGACGGAGAAAAAAAGCAAACCTTCTATGCCGGTGCGCCTTGCCTATCCTAGGCAGCCTTTCAACGCCATCGTTGATACCAAACGATTATGATTCCGTGCACCAGGGGTATTTGTTTAGATGGCACGTGTCCCAAAGCAGAAAGTGAGCGAGACGAGAAAAATAGACGAGCAGGGTCGTGCAGCTTCGGTCGTCCAACCGAGAAACTGCTCGAGGGCCGCACCAGCCTCTCACTATTGGTGCTGCGAGGCTCGTGTTCCGCCGCGAAGGACACATGAACCCCATCGTTGCAACCCAAGCCAAAGTGCTAGATGAAGATTCCCAGCCAGGCGGTCTTTGAGCCGACCTCCGAGTTGCAGCCTTCAACTGCGCACATGACGCTCGTCTTGCTATTAGGGCCCGGTCGGAATCCGGAGTCGCTCTCCGAGAGCTTGTTGTCCTTGGACTTTTGTTTGCGATCTGCGTAGCACTTGTGACAGAAGACCTAGAGGGGAAGAGCCAAGTTAGCGCCGTGTTCTAGCGGACCATTCTTTACATTGGCCTACCCTACCGAGCGCTGATTGCGCCCGGGGGTTCAAAGGCACTCAAGCGGGTAGGGAAGGGAGCAAGGGTCCTTACATGTCCACAGGCCTTGACGGCCATAAAGTGGTGCTCAGCGCGGTCTTTCTTCGTCCTTTGCCTCTTTGCCGGAGGCGGCGTGTCGGACTTCTCGTCCGGGTCGTAAACCAGCTCCTCCTTGCAGCTGGGACATATGACGAAAACATCCTCGCCGGTGCTGCGAGTACAGCCTTCCATGGCCTCCTTCGGAGGAACATAAACCGGCTTCTGGGGCTCCTGTCGAGGATGGGGTTCCCAGAATTCGGGGGGGATGCCACCACCATAGTCGAGATCAAGATGGATAAGGCCCAAGACATCGCGTAGATTGGGCTGGTCGGCTTGCGGGTCAGCCGCCGCCACGCCGGCTTGCCTGTTGGCGTTGCCAAGCATAGCAGCAGTCAGCTGGTGGAGGTGCCCTCTGATATGCTGGCCAATGCCAAAGGCATGGGCCAATGGAATCTGCGCATCAGCTCGGGGGCCAGGGCGATGCAGATGGGGGAACGCATCCCAGTTCAAGGGGTTATTGGGGTGGTTGGCAGCAGCGTGGAGCTGCGCGGGCTGTGGCTGAGGCGCAGCGACGGGCTCCGGGCCATCGTCGGTAAGATCTATCATTGGGATGTTGCCCCCTCCACCTCCTCGCCCACGACCGCCATTGATACTAGCATCGCTGCGGGCGAGAGAAGGGGTCCGCGTAAGTCCTGCCTGCCTCCTAGGGTTTCTCGACGCCGCCCGCGCGTTCTGGGCGGGAACCTGGTCGAGGAAGCCGGCGTTTCTGGGCTGGTCGTTGCGAGGGAGATGCATGGGAGGAAACACAAGTCGGGAGTAGTCGGGGCTGTCTGGTTCTGCGGTCAGGTCGATGAAGTCGTTGGCCGGCTGTTGCTGGCGCTGTTCAAATTCACGTTCACGCCTAATGAACTCCTGCCGGCGACGTTCCATAATCCTCCGTCCACGGTCATTCCCGTCCATGCGGAGCAAAGAGCGTCCTGCCTCCCTCAGACGCTCCCGATCTGGAAACGCACGCTCTGGAGCCGCACGCTCTGGGGCCGCACGCTCTGGGGCCGCACGTTCTGGGACCGGCGAGGGATTTTGGCTGACAAAAAGCGATTGCTCCTCCTCGTCGTCATTATCGTCCTCGTCGTCATCGTCGTCGTCCTCGATAGTCACTGGCGGTGACCTCTGCTGACGTGCAGGTGGTGACGAGGTGGCTAGCTCTATGTGAACAAGTTCATCGTCTCGGGCATTCCGGGCATTTGGGGTAGCGTGGGCACGAGGGCGGGACGGGTTGGATATCTCTTCGACCTCGGAGTCGGACATGCTTGCGCCGCCAGCGGAGCCGGCGTGGGATTGTCGAGAGCGCGGGGGACGAGGGTACAAAAGCGAGGCGGGCGAGGGATGGCGAGCAGGGGCAAGAGAAGCGACCCAGAGCCGCGAGCGGACATTCGGGGCGGTGGTGGCGGCGGGGAGGAAGGAAGGCGTGCTTGTTGCGAAGTTGCGTTGCGAGGTTGAGGTTGAGGAGGCGAATCGAAACAGCCGAGCTGGCAGTCAGCGCCTTGAGACGTCCCGCTCCACGACGTTCAGCGACCGTCGGAGTTCTCCGTTTGTTTGGGCCAAACAAGGCTCCAACCCCACACTGCCCCACCAAGCTGGACCAACCAGACCTCGCAGTTGGCGGTGGCTAGCGTCGAGGCTCCAAAGATTCCGCGCACCAACGCCTCGAGCGCCTTGTAATTTTATGGTTTGAAATGGTTTGGAGCTTTGCGGAAGCCTAGCGAAGACAGCAGCATGGACGGGCCACCATACAGACGAGAAAAATGCTTATTTACGCAAATGTTTAGTGGGGAGGAAACCCTAGAACGAGTGCCCTGCTTTTCTTTTTTTTTCTTTTTTTTCTTTTTTTTTCCCACAAGAGCCAGCCGGCCTCACTAGGAAGGGGCGACCACGGGATCTAGCCCATTGTTCAGGGGCTTCCTATTGTCCCAGGCTTATTCAGATCTCCAGGCACAACCTCTCGCTGTGATGTGATGTCACCGACGCAGGTGACATCCACTTTGGCCGTGCAGCCATGCAAAATACCACAATTGCGTGGTCAAGGGAGAGCGTGGATTTGCTCACATCGCTGCACCGGCACGATTTTCTCCTTAGTTGACCCCAATTGAGTTGCCTTGGCTCCCGTCGGCATGAGGCACAGCATCCACAAAAATGTGTGACGCACGCCCGCGGCCATGCATGTTGTGCAGCCCCCAGCTTTGTGCAGCCCGCAGCTCAGCCCTGTGTTGATTGCGATATCACTCACATTTAGTACCTTTTTACACTCGATAACGGGAACACTTCCCGCAGAAAAAAAATAAAAGGCATCGGGGCAACGCTGGAGGCCTACATGGCCGAGAGGATAGATTTTGTGGCAAGACATAGATAGAATTCGAGGTCATCAATCAATCGCCCCTACACGTGACTGGCAATAGCCCACGCGGCGCCACATATTAGGCCTGCCGATCACTACAGACGGGGAGATTAAAACCCACCGCCCAGTCGCATAAACCCGCAGGCCGGCGCGATTGACCAACCGGCGATGCCTTCTATCAGCTTCAAGTTGCTCCGGCCACCGGGGACGGGTTCTGGTTTGCGCGTCCTTTGAAAGAGCCAAAGCTCAGATATGGTTCAGATCAGAATAAAAGGAGACCGGGCAGGTTCGTCCGTTGGAATTATGGATAGCATCAACTCGCCCATCACATCGGCTTCACCTGTAGCCATAACCGCAAAATCACGCAATATAATTCTCTGAGTATACACCTATCAACCGCCAGTCTCACAGCTCAGAACAATGGCCTCATTCTCCAAGCCCGGTAGCGCCGCCAGAAAGACCATCCTTTTCCTCGGAGCCACCGGAGGCTGCGGCTTCTCGGTGCTCTGCCGGTTCCTCGACGCAGGCCACACGTGCGTCGCCCTTTGACGGGCCCCATCCAAGCTGACCGAAAAGCTCGGCGGGGAGGCCCGCAAGAACCTGGCCGTCCTCCAGGGGAACGCAAAAGATGCGACGGTCATCCGCAGGCGCTGCTGCGCTGGAGCCCGTCGTTGGACCCGGCCGCATCCTCCCTCGCTGACGCCGTCGTCTTCGCGCTGGGCGGGGTCTTCAGCCTGAGTAGGATGGGCAATGACGACCCGGACATCTGCCGCGCCGGTATGGAGGCGCTCCTCTCGGGGCTGTCCACCGCCAGGCCGCAGCGGCTCGACGGTCCCCGCGGCGACGCGGCGGCGCCTCGGACGCACGTCATCAGTACCACAGGCATCAGCGAGCAGGGCCGCCACGTGCCCTTGGCCATGCTGCCCATGTACAGCTACATGCTGAAGGAGCCGCACAGGGACAAGAAGGCGATGGAGGACACGCTCGTCACCAGCGGCGAGGCGTGGACCATTGTGCGGCCCAGCTTGCTGACGGACGAGTCGGCGAGCAGGGTCAGGAAGATCCGGGTGGGTGTTGAGGATCATGTGGGAAAGGTGCTGCTCAGCAAGGACGGCGTGGGCTACACCATATCTCGGGAGGAAGTCGGGCGGTGCATGTTTGAGAATCTGATGGAGGAGGCGGGGAGCGACACTTGGCTGTGGAAAATTGCAACCATCACCCACTGAACTGGTGAGTGCGGGAAGCTCTACTGTGTCGACGCAACTAATGCCAACAGACAAACGGTGAAATGCGACAATTCCTCAACACACGGCGGCTCGGCCATGCGATTGTTTCCTGGTGTTCCGCGCTTCGTCGGTGGTTGAGACCCAAGAAAGGAGCAAAGGAGCGCCAGGGGCGCATGCCGTGCATGTTTCAAAAAGACGCCGCCCCTGCCCAATCGGCCGTTTCCCCGCCATGAATGCCGCCTTCTGAGGGGCTCAGCATCGCTGGGAGCAGCCGCGCAGCCCAGTGTGCCAAATCCCAGTGATGGGTGCAAAGCGACTGGCTGCCGCTAAGGCTTGGGCAGTGGCACTGCCCCAATTGAAGACGATGGGGGCGGCGCAAAGCTCAGCACATGCTCACTAGCGTAACCTCGAATTTCCTCTCCTGCTTCCAACATGCGATCTCCACTGCCCAAATAGATTGAAGCAAGTCTGCCTTTCCACCGTATTGCCCGTTATTGCCCCTCGATTGTAGATATCGTTTCGGGGCCAATTCTGCCGGGCGATCAATCGAGTCACGGCGACTGACGACGACGTCCGTCGGGTCCGGCACTCGTGGCGTCTTGGCAATGCTGGCCGCCTGTCCCAGCCTTTCCTCGCAGGCCACCCAAGGAAGGGGAAGGAGCCTCCGCGAGTCACACACAGTGCCGCCCCTTGCGACTAAACCTTATTCTCCCTTGACGCAGGGGGCCGTCTTTGCCAGCTGCCAGCCAACCCAAACGGGCCACAGCCCCCAATGCGTTCTTTGCCTTTGCCATTCCATTCGACCCAGTGATTGTGAGCAATACAGTACATGCATCCCATGCAACAGCACTTGCTGTGTTTCAGGGGCCAGGCTGGGGCTGCCCCCACGACATTCTCGTCGAGAGATCATCCTCCATGGGCTCTTTTTGCCGTTGCCTCCCGTCCCCTAGCCTAGTCATCGAAGGGCTGGCCCTTACACGTACCCCACCTGGCATTCAAGCATCGGATGATGGGCTCGAAGTCAAGTGGCGCATTGCCCTGGCCGACCATCCCATCTCCCTCCCCAAGAGGACTTCTCTGTTGAGTGCAAGCACGCGCCACCTGTCCTAGCTCCTTCCCTTAGCACCAGCTTTCGTTCTTTGTCGCGAACCAATTTCTTTGTGTTCAAGTTGAACAAACGTACTGTCTAGTTCATTCACTTCATTCTCGTCACCTCTGGCTCACCTGTTGGTGGTAACGCAGCCAAGCCCTCGACCACGTCTATATAGCCACCGACACAGCCTGGCGCTACAGTCTTTTCCTCTGCCTCACATCTTCTTTTCCACACGCATCTCTGCCTACTTCATTGCTCAGACAACCCAAGCAAGCATCAGAAGCATCTCGACTACACTGCAACCATGTTGCCCTCTCCTCTTCTTCTTCTGGTTTCGACGCTCCTTGGCGGCGCCGCAGCGGCGCCTGCCACTGATCTGTCGGCCCGACAGGCAGCTCCTCTGATCAAGCAGAAGGTTCTGATAGGCGGCGGTGGCACGAGCAACATCACCATTGCCCAGTTCAACGGCGCCACCTTCGATATCCTCAGCACAACCTCGATCGGAGCCGGCAAGGCCCCGAGCTGGCTCGCCTTCAAGGAGCCCAACATCGTGTACAGCGTCAACGAGAACGCTGCCGACCTCCAGATGTTTAAGCTGGACCTCGCCTCCAACACTCTGGCACCTGCCGCTCTCCTGAACTCGTCCCGGGGTGTTGTGCACCTCGAGTTCAACAAGGACAAGACGCGCATGGTCGGTTCGTCCTACACCCAAGGCGTCGTCGACGTATGGGAGCTCGCGGCCGACGGCACCCCCACTGCCAAGACGATCGGCATCAAGACGAACGTGACGGTCAGCAGCCCCGACGTGGCAGACACTCTCGGACCGAACAAGGCCCGCCAGGCCGACGGCCCTCACGCCCACCAGTCGGTCCTCGACAACAGCGGCCGCTTCTTCTTCGTCAACGACCTCGGCCTCGACTCTATCGTCATGGTCGACTCTAAGGGCGACGACTTCAAGGTGGTGGGTCGCACCAAGGTGAACCCAGGCTGCGGACCGCGCCACGGAGTGTTTTACCCTCCGGGCGCCGCCAACGCCACCCACTACCTGGTCGTGTGCGAGCTCCTCAACACGGTCATCGTGCACTCGGTCAACTTCAACACCACCAGCGGCGTCCCTGAGATGATTGCCACCCAGATCGTGCCGACCTTTGGCGACAGCGCCCCGCCCGCCGCGGGCTCCAAGCCCCAGGCCGGCGAGATCATCGCGTCGGCAGACGGCAAGTCTATCTATGTCTCGAACCGCCTCGGCTTCGACACCAATACGGCCACCTCGGCCGACACCCTCGTCCAGCTCAGGGCCTGCTTCAACGCGACCGACAGCACCCTCAAGCTCAGCTTCGGCCAGTCGGTGAGCAGTGAGGGCCGCTCCCCGCGCATGATCAGCCTCAGCACCGACAAGGAGCAGACGGTGCTCTACGGTACCAACCAGAGGGCTGGCACGGGGCTGGTTGCGTTCCAGCGCGACGCCGCCGGCAGCTTGAGTGCCGTCCAGGGATCCAAGGTCGCGTACGATAAGTTCGCCACCTCCCCCGATCAGAAAGAGGACTTTGGTCCCCAGTTCGTCATTGGCCTGCCGAACTCGGCCTAAGCCTTGACGTGTCCGTTCCCATCTCAGGCTCGATATGAGGGCCGGCCCGCGTGCTCGAGAGTTTTTTCCCTAGTCCATCACGTTTGTATAATACCACCGAGATATCCTGTTTTGAGCTTTCTTTATCCCTTTTCACCCAGGCGTGCTTGTATAGACTATACCTTACCTATTTGATACGGCGACAATGCCATGATGAAGATACTATTGGATAACTAAATCAGTGTTGCCATAATGCACTACCAGACTGTAACCGGGTTTTCATTCCCAAATTCGCTGCCTGGTTTCTAGCACGCCAAGCAGGCATCTTTTCACTCCCACCAATCCCCGGGTACGGCACTAGCTACCCATCCAATTAATGATCTTCTTATGCATAGGCAGTATGTCCCCCCTTCAGCTCCCCTCGTGCCCTCCAAGCTTGGGTGCGGGGTCATGGACATGCGGCATCCCCAAACGGGCTGCTGCAGCCCTACGCGACATTGAATGGGGCTATGCCCTCCTCGACCGGGCGGGAGGCACCCGCGAAAGGGCCCAATAAGGTGCGATTGGCTGCGGTCCGCAACTGCACACCGATGGCACAGTGGCAGTGTGGCCGCAGCCTGGACTAATGCAAGCCACCTAAGGACACGGGCCAGTGACGGAGAGCCGAGGGCAGGCGTCTGGAGCGACCGGTTGGCCTCAGTCCGACAGTTGAAGGGACCGATGACCCGCGTTTGCTGCTTTGGGCCAACTTGGGCAGGTGTGCGTATAGGCTTCTTGTGTCTATATATGTGACCTGGATAGTCTCTCGTCGCCGCGCGGGCGCTGGGGGTCTTTCTGCAATGGCGACGTCTGCTCCCGCTGGCACAAGAACGGTCTCAAGCATCCAGAAAGGCAAACATCATAAGCTGGCGCCATGACATCTATTCCACGCACAAACGGCCCGGTCGTGGTGAGAAGTGAGGGCCCCACAGCAGCCGGCTGGGAGCTTCACAGGAGCACCATCACCGAGCTGTATGTTGGTCAGGGTAAGACGCTCAAGGAGTTGATGCACATTATGCAGACGGAGCACAACTTTACGGCAAGGTAAGATCCCAGACACGGTAAGGATGATAGGTAGCTGCCAGTCGGCCCCTCGTTGCCGCTTGCTCACAAACCACCTCCCTCAGCGCCAAGATGTTCAACAACCGCTTCAAGTGGTGGGGGATCAGCAAGAACATGCGCGCCAAGAACGCAGTGGCCATCCTGACGTTGCAGTCCCGGCGCGAGATGGCCGGACGCCAGCGCTCCGAGTACTTGGTCAACGGCCAGGCCCTGAGCGCGGACCGGCTGCAGAAGTACTGGAAGCGCGCGACCCCGTCGCGCGTCGCAAAGGCCCGCGCCCAGCTACGCCAGGCCGCCGGGCTGCCCGACGCAGTAGTGGTCCGGACCCCGTCGCCGTCGCCGTCGCCGCCGCCGTTGTCCCCCATGTCGGCGCAAGGGCAGCCAAAGCAGGCGTCTTCGGATCGGCGGAAGGGATCTCAGCGGAGGCGGCAGCTGCAGCGGCAGAGGTCGGCGAGCCCGTTGACGCAACATCGACTGTCGCCGCCGGACGAGCTGCTGCTGCCCGAGGAGTGCCTACACTCGATCCGCAAATTCTACGCGGGCTACTTCGAGGCCCGGCCGCAGGGTAGCGGCACACGGTCCATGGGCCTGTCTTCGTTCCTGGCGCTCAAGGAGCGGCTGGTGCGGTTCGACAGCCAGTACCAGGCGCTGGCCTACATCTTCGTCGAGCCGCCGGGGGACGTAATGTTCCGGCTCCTCAACGTCTTCTACATCGAGATGCGCGACCAGATGCGCGAGCACGACCACTTCCTACTGCCCATGTGCCTGCACAGCGTCTACTTTCTGGCCAGCGACCCGCGCGGCGCGCCCTTCTCGCGCCAGCTGCTGGCCTACATCCGGGAGGGGAGCGACATATACCTGGGCCCCTCACACCCGCTGACCACGGTCTGGGCTAAGCTGGCGGCCACGTGCGCGGCGGCGGAGGGCAGGCTGCCGGGGAGGGGCTTCTTCTACGCCCTGGGCGCGTACATCAACGACCGGCTGCGCGAGGAGCTGGGCGTGTACAACATCCTGTTCCTCCGCATCTTCCACCACTTCACCTGGACCTACGAGGGCCACCAAGCCTTCGAGGCCGCCATCCGGTGCCAGATCGCCCACCTCGACGCCCTCAGGGCCGCCGTGCTGGGCAACGCACGCCTGCCGTTCGACCCACCGCCGGCCGCGACGCCGCAGCCTCCTGACTTCCCGCCGCTCGCGCACCGCCCGGGTCGGCAGCAGCAGCAGCAGCAGCACCCTAGCTACCCTCCGCCGCCGCCGCCGCCGCCGCCGCCGCCACTTCCGCCAACGGCCCTTGCACACTTCACACAACCGCCGCCGCCGCCGCCCATGGCCCTCCCGCCCCTCGACGCCGCAGCCGCCACCGCCGACCCGGCCGACCTGGCGCACGCCAACGAGATCCGCACCGTGCTGTCCGGCTCGCTCGCCTTCGGGCTGTACGTGTCGGGCCTGCACGGGCGCGCGCGCGAGG